TTTCAATTGAGTTGTACAAGTTATAGGTTACATTAAAGGTGGCTAAAGTTCTGGAATTATTTATCTTGGTCTCGTTTTTTTACATCACAGAAACCTGGCATTTTAACAGGGGTGTGTAGACTTTTTATATCCACTGTAAATGTCATATTTGTTCCCAGACACAAAGGCGGTGATAGCTGTCGGTCAGTGTGCTGACAAAGGTATGTTATGACTGACTTTGATATAGTTGTAAAAATATTAAGATTCAAAATTTCCAGATCAGTAACCCTTAGTTAGGAAAAATATATGTTTGGTTTTTCATAATCTGGGACAATTTTTATTGTGAAAACTATTCAATAACTCTAGTCATACACTGTAGTGTCACCAAAATCACATCATGCTTTAAAAAATAGTGATTCTCAGGCAGGTTCTTTATTTTGTGATTTTCAAGCAGATTTATGGACATTTGATTATTGTGGACATTAGGGGTAATGATGTCACTGGGAACTGTAAGTTGCACAGAATTTAAAAATATGTGCATCATGTCTGTGTGTTCAGATTTGACAGAAGTAGAGTTTTGCTACCTCATCTTCGTTGCCCGTTCCTGCCTCCCCGCTCCTCTGGTCTCCTGAGAGCTCTGTGTTATTTTCCAACCCCATTCCCTGATGATCACCTAACTGTTACTGTCATTTTCCACCGGCCTCCACAGCTGTGGCTCATTTGTTTAGGAGCAGAGAGAGCAGCTCCCCTGTTGATTGGCAGAGTTACTGTGTGTTGCCTTAGAGCTCAAGCTACATGTGTTGCTTGTCTACCTGTTTCCCTACTTGATTTCTATCTGCACATTACTGACTGGAAACAAAGGCCAAGTTTAAGGTAAGATGACTTAACTGTATCTGCTGTGTCCTCTCTATAACTTTGTAAATTGCCAAGGACACCAACTGAAATTCACCACAGTGCATTTTCAGTAAACAACTATGACTTTTTGTTTTGGGAAGTGGGGTCATATAATGGTTATATTAAAATCTTTACTACAAATCAGTTACACTAAAATAAAGGGATAATTACATACGTGGCAGTGAGAAAACATTTAGATTAAAAAATTACAGAAAATATTAAAAAGTTCCTTAGTGAACAGGGCCATTTTGTGGCAAATACAATTTAGCAGAAAAAAATACTCTGTTATTCAGGATCACTGTTTGAAGGAGTTTTCCTGTGATGGCCAACCTGAACTCTGAGTTAAAATAGTTTCACATGATTCACATGGTTATTGAAGTTTTGAAAAAAAAGTGTGTGGAGAAAGTTAGGATGGACAACATAGTTAAATCAGTGACCAGCTGTGGGATGGGCACTGGACATTTTTGACTTGAGGCAGGAGGAAAGGTCAGAGGTCACTAAAACTAGGAGACATTACCTGAGGAATTACAGAAATGCAACAGTTCAATAAGTTACTGCAGATAACAGGAAGAGATTGCAAGAAGGAGGTTTGGGCAGGGTTATCAGATAGTTAGTTGTTTCTAAGAATAAAAAAAATGCAGAAGAGACTATTGATGGACTGAAACCAGTCCTGCGTGTTCTTGATGAAGAAGTGGTCAAAGACAAATCTGTCTTTTAAGATATTTATTACAATCAATTTTTCAGAAAAAATATTCAAGAAAAGCAATTTACAGAGCTCTGGGTTTCGTCTCTCTGAGGCCCTACCAAACAACAGCAAAACGTTCCAACTGCCTTCAGAGCAGGGGAACGTCTAGACTCACCCAGTCTAATTATACAGTTTTCAAATATACAAATGATGGTAGATCTGACGTCCTCCGCGTTGTCCTTCATCCTCGCTCCCTGGTTGGTCGGTTGACCTCGTTCTGACCCCTCATTTGATGATTTTGTCCCCAGGCAGTTTTCATCTGTAAAATTCTAAGAACACATCCTGACCTTTGAATGCCCTAAGCTCAGACAGTTTTAGAGAAGGCCCCCCTTAACTCACTTCCCGTCTACTCCTGTCACTAGGAGCGTTGCTAAGCCCTAGTTCCGGTTTTGGTTTCCTGGAGATGGCTTTACAGGTTCTGCTATTGGCAACTGCAAGTCTCCTACACTCTTTAAGACAAATGAAATAGTTAACACAAAAGTAGATTATAAGGCAGATGATACTATTATAATGCATATGATACTAAAATAATCCTGTAAATATATTTGCTAATGCAGATTACAATATTGATTATAGAAGGCCAAGCATTTCATATATTATTAATAAATGTCAACAATAAGACCTTTTACCCACTTACATCTCTGGCTGGAGACAGCCCTGTCATCTCATTCTGCCTGCGCACACTTCCTGTTGTTTTGAGTCTCTCTTCACCTACTCACAAGCAGTTCATGGGCACAGGTCAAGTCTTTCCAGTCCAACAGGTCAAACAGATTAAACAATTATTTGAACAGTTTTGCAAATACATAACATAGCACTATATCATTTTACCAAGAATTTCTTTCTACACTATCCTGATAAACATTCGGAAATGCAGTGCTGTTAAAAAGTCACATTCTAGAATGAAGTGTAGTTCTGTCGCTATTAAACCAATATTTTTAAAGTAGTTATGACTAATTTGAATTGTTTCAGTTCAGACATGTGACAGGCCACTGAGTCATTACACCTGATATAGCTTCCCATAACAGGCTTCATTCATTTTTTTTACTGATTATTCCTCCTCCTATAGGCTGTTATATTACTGTGTACATATCTCATTTGTCTTGTGTACAGGGCCATAGCTACAGAAGGACTTAGTCATACTGAGGTCACTTGTTTCAGATCTCCAAATGAATCACTCCAAAAATAGGATTGCTGTGCTTCTCACTTAAGTTTCTTAGATGCCTGATGAAAGATAGTGTTGTATATGCATCTTTACTAAAAAGAGCTTTGTTCTAAATGTTTTCAAATTCTAACTTCTAGGGTCTTTTTAAGGAGAATATTCATTATAAATAAGATTATTGCCTGCAAACATGGCAGGTTGTTTCTGTCTGCAGGGTAGACTATACAGAGAAAAATCCAAAATGCTTGTTTGGGCTCCATAAAATCAATACTTGACCATTACCATAATATATGAAGCCTATTTTTTTTATCCACTTGTAGATCATGTAGACAATCCTGTATTGGCCCGCCCACGGGAGGTGACCTGGGGGGTCACAGGTAAGAGAGGGGGCAGAGAAAAAAAGAATATATTAAAGGAATGTCGGACACAGCGACATGAGAGACTAGCTCCGTTTCTTCACACATATACACCACTCTTCTCACATCTGGATTTTAGTAGTGTTAGGTATTTTTAGTCAGATAGATATTGGTTAGATACTTTATGTATTAGAAATGTTTAGTGGAGATAGGATGTCTAGTTAGACTGTTAAATGCTTAGACATGCTTATGAGTTTCTACAGGGTACATCTGGTCAAGGATACTAGAGAGAAGAGCTGATGACTGTCAGCAGACAGGGTGTTTAATATTATTATTATGACATGTATAACTGTAGCCTTAGCCATAATATGT